CTCCGGGCCACACTTGGGGGTCAGGCCAGGCCACACTTGGGGGTCAGTTGTGGCCACACTCGGGGGTCAGTTGTGGCCACACTCGGGGGTCACTCTGGGCCACACTTGGGGGTCAGTCCAGGCCACATTTGGGGGTCAGTCCGGGCCACACTTGGGGGTCACTCCGGGCCACATTTGCGGGTCAATTGTGGCCCCACTTGGGGGTCAGTCCGGGCCACACTTGGGGGTCAGGCCGGGACCACTTGGGGGTCAGTCCGGGCCACACTTGGGGGTCACTCCGGGCCCCACTTGGGGGTCAGTCCAGCCCCACTTGGGGGTCAGTCCAGGCCCCACTTGGGGGTCACTCCGGGCCACACTTGGGGGTCACTTGTGGCTGCACTTGGGGGTCAGTCCGGGCCACATTTGGGGGTCACTTGTGGCCCCACTTGGGGGTCAGTCCGGGCCACATTTGGGGGTCAGTCCGGGCCACACNCCGGGCCACATTTGGGGGTCAGTCCGGGCCACACTTGGGGGTCAGGCCGGGCCACATTTGGGGGTCAGTCCAGGCCACATTTGGGGGTCAATTGTGGCCACACTTGGGGGTCAGGCCGGGACCACTTGGGGGTCAGGCCGGGCCACATTTGGGGGTCAGTTGTGGCTGCACTTGGGGGTCAGTCCGGGCCATACTTGGGGGTCACTCCGGGCCACACTTGGGGGTCAGGCCGGGACCACTTGGGGGTCAATTGTGGCCACACTCGGGGGTCACTCTGGGCCACACTTGGGGGTCAGTCCGGGCCACATTTGGGGGTCAGTCCGGGCCACACTTGGGGGTCAATTGTGGCCCCACTTGGGGGTCAGTCCAGGCCACATTTGGGGGTCACTTGTGGCTGCACTTGGGGGTCACTCCGGGCCACACTTGGGGGTCAGTTGTGGCCACACTTGGGGGTCACTCTGGGCCCCATTTAGGGGTCAAGTCCAGGCCACACTTGGGGGTCACTTCGAGCCCCACTTGGGGGTCAGTTGTGGCCACACTTGGGGGTCACTCCAGGCCCCATTTAGGGATCAGTCCAGGCCCACTTGTGGGTCACTTGTGGCTGCACTTGGGGGTCACTCCGGGCCCCACTTGGGGGTCAGTCCAGCCCCACTTGGGGGTCAGTCCAGGCCACACTTGGGGGTCAGCCCCACATCCCACCATGGGTCACTTTTTGTCCCCACTTGGGGGTCAGTCCCTGCCCCACTCGTGGCTCAGTTTGTCCCCACTTGGGGGTCACTTGTGGGTCACTTTGTCCCCACTTGTGGGTCAGTTTGTCCCCATTTGGGGTCAGTCCCTGCCCCACTTGTGGGTCACTTTGTCCCCACTTGGGGGTCACTTGTGGGTCAGCTTGTCCCCACTTGGGGTCAGTCCTGCCCCACTGCCGGGTCCCCGTGGGGCCTCAGGCCTGGGGGTCACTCTGGGCGGCCGTGGGGCTGTGTGGGTCACTCCAGGGGTCACTCTGGTGGTCACTCGTAGCTGTGGGGTCATTCCGGTGGTCACTCTGGGGGTCACTCTGGGGGTCATTCCAGTGGTTACTCCTCTGGTCACTCATGGCCGTGGGGTCACTCTGGGGGTCACTCTGGCGGTCACTGGTGGCCGTGGGGTCACTCCAGTGGTCACTCTGCTTGTCACTCCAGTGGTCACTCATGGCTGTAGAATCACTCCATGGGTCACTCTGGTGGTCACTCCCGCGGTCACTCGGGCAGTCACTCTGGTGGTTACTCTGTTGGTCACTCCAGCGGTCACTCCGGCGGTCACTCAGGTGGTCACTGGGGTGGTTGCTGTGGTGGTCACTCTGGCGGTCACTCCGCTGGTCACTCAGGTGGTCACTGTGGTGGTCGCTGTGGTGGTCACTCCAGCGGTCACTCCGCTGGTCACTCAGGTGGTCGCTGTGGTGGTCACTGTGGTGGTCGCTGTGGTGGTCACTCTGGCGGTCACTCCCGCGGTCACTCAGGTGGTCACTGGGGTGGTCACTCGGGTGGTCACTCCCACGGTCACTCTGGTGGTCACTCAGGTGGTCACTCTGGTGGTCACTCAGGTGGTCACTCGGGTGGTCACTGGGGTGGTCACTGGGGTGGTCACTCTGGTGGTCACTCAGGTGGTCACTGGGGTGGTCACTGTGGTGGTCACTCTGGTGGTCACTGGGGTGGTCACTGTGGTGGTCACTGGGGTGGTCACTCCCGCGGTCACTCTCCGGCCGCAGCTCGGCCGACAGCCGCTCGAAGGCGGCCAGCATGGCGGCGCGGACGCGCTCGGTCAGCGCCGGCACCTCGGCCGCGCCCAGGCCCCGCGTGGGCAGCGGGGGCAGCACCTGGATCACGCAGTGCCCTGGGGGGAGACGTGGGGCTGACCCACGGACCCCAGACCCACAGCGGGACCCCAGACCCACAGAGAGACCCCAGACCCACAGAGAGACCCCTGACCCACAGAGAGACCCCTGACCCACAGAGAGACCCCTGACCCACAGCCAGGCCCAGGCCCCGTGGGGACAGCACCTGGATCACGCAGTGCCCTGGGGGGAGACGTGGGGCTGACCCACGGACCCCAGACCCACAGCGGGACCCACAGAGACCCACAGAGAGACCCCAGACCCATAGCGGGACCCAGAGATCCCTGACCCACAGCCAGGCCCAGGCCCCGCGTGGGCAGCGGGGGCAGCACCTGGATCACGCAGTGCCCTGGGGGGAGATGTGGGGCTGACCCACGGATCCCTGACCCACAGATCCCTGACCCACGGATCCCTGACCCACAGCGGGACCCCAGACCCACAGCGGGACCCACAGAGAGACCCCAGACCCACAGCCAGGCCCAGCCCCTGCATGGGCAGCACCTGGATCACGCAGTGCCCTGGGGGGAGACGTGGGGCTGACCCACAGATCCCTGACCCACAGATCCCTGACCCACGGATCCCTGACCCACAGCGGGACCCCAGACCCACAGAGAGACCCCAGACCCATAAAGAGACCCCTGACCCACAGCGGGACCCACAGCCAGGCCCAGGCCCCGTGGGGACAGCACCTGGATCACGCAGTGCCCTGGGGGGCAGAGATGTGGGGCTGACCCACAGACCCCTGACCCACAGAGAGACCCACAGAGAGACCCCAGACCCACAGAGAGACCCCAGACCCACAGCGGGACCCACAGAGACCCACAGAGAGACCCCAGACCCACAGTGGGACCCACAGAGAGACCCCAGACCCACAGCGGGACCCAGAGATCCCTGACCCACAGCCAGGCCCAGGCCCCGTGGGGACAGCACCTGGGTCACGCAGTGCCCTGGGGGGAGACGTGGGGCTGACCCACAGACCCCAGACCCACGGACCCCTGACCCACAGCGACCCACAGAGAGACCCCAGACCCACAGAGAGACCCCTGACCCACAGAGAGACCCCAGACCCACAGAGAGACCCCTGACCCACAGAGAGACCCCTGACCCACGGATCCCTGACCCACAGAGAGACCCCAGACCCACAGAGAGACCCCTGACCCACAGCCAGGCCCAGGCCCCACGTGGGCAGCACCTGGATCACGCAGTGCCCTGGGGGGAGATGTGGGGCTGCCCCACGGCAGGACCCCGGCCCCATGGCCAGACCCCAGCCCCGCATGGAGACCCCAGCCCCACAGCCGCCCCCCAAGTCCCCCCCAGCCCCACAGCCGCCCCCCAAGTGCCCCCCAGCCCCACAGCCGCCCCCCAAGTCCCCCCCAGCGCACCGGGGGTGAAGCGCCGCTCCCGTTTGCTGTAGAAGTGTTGGTAGGACGAGATCACGATGGGCACCACGGGCACCTGGGGGGCACCGAGCGCTGGGGGGCTGCCCCACAGCGCCCCACAACTGACCCACAACTGACCCATAGCTGACCCATAACTGACCCACAACTGACCCACAACTGACCCATAACTGACCCACAACTGACCCATAACTGCCCCATAACTGACCCACAACTGACCCACAACTGATCCATAACTGACCCACAGCTGACCCATAACTGACCCACAGCTGACCCATAACTGACCCATAACTGACCCATAACTGACCCACAACTGACCCATAGCTGACCCATAACTGACCCACAACTGACCCATAGCTGACCCACAACTGACCCACAACTGACCCACAACTGACCCACAACTGACCCACAGCACCCCACAACTGACCCACAGCTGACCCATAACTGACCCACAACTGACCCACAACTGACCCACAGCACCCCACAACTGACCCATAACTGACTCATAACTGACCCACAACTGACCCATAACTGACCCATAACTGACCCACAACTGACCCATAACTGACCCACAACTGACCCACAACTGATCCATAACTGACTCACAACTGACCCACAACTGACCCATAACTGACCCACAACTGACCCACAACTGATCCATAACTGACCCACAACTGACCCATAACTGACCCACAACTGACCCACAACTGACCCATAACTGACCCATAACTGACCCATAACTGACCCATAACTGACCCACAGCGCCCCACAACTGACCCACAACTGACCCACAACTGACCCACAACTGACCCACAACTGCCCCACAGCGCCCCACAACTGACCCACAACTGACCCACAACTGACCCACAACTGACCCACAACTGACCCATAACTGACCCATAACTGACCCACAACTGACCCACAACTGACCCATAGCTGACCCACAACTGACCCATAACTGACCCATAACTGACCCACAGCACCCCATAACTGACCCATAACTGACCCACAACTGACCCACAACTGACCCATAACTGACCCACAAGTGGCCCATAACTGACCCACAACTGACCCACAACTGACCCATAACTGACCCACAACTGACCCACAGCGCCCCACAACTGACCCACAGCTGACCCACAACTGACCCACAACTGACCCATAACTGACCCATAACTGACCCATAACTGACCCACAACTGACCCACAACTGACCCA